ACTCTGGATCCCTCACAGAGTACTGGATGATCCTTTAGGGATCTACCACCACAGTTTCAGACCAATAAGGGGTCTGTCGAGGCCTCTTCTGCTCCCCTGCAGAAGGTATGGGATGCTCTCTTACCAGCTTTAATTTCACTTTTCACCACCACTGTTTGCAGACTTCAAATGTCTGGGAGGACCTCTGCTTGCTTTCCAGAGGTAACAGATGCTCCTAGCCTGGGGCTTAATTTCCTAACTTGGGGCTTTGCTTACAGGGCCTTACCAGCTGGTTGCCCAAATCCAATTCTCTCATTCACTCATTCCATTCCGTTTTCACACAGCCTCTCCCTTTTCCCTAACAAAAGGTCCTACACTCTGGCCAAACCCCCATGCTTTCCAGGGTCTGCCACTTGAACAGATCTTTTCTGCGATTAGGAAAGACTAGAGGGAGCAAAATCCAATTGTGGGAAAAGGGTCTTCTCACTCACATACACAGACATACACACATTTCCTTTGCTCCCGAGCTTTAAAGTTAAAATTTAGCGGTACTCACCTTCACCTTCTTCCTAAAGTAGCCGCTGAGCTCAAACCCAAAACTTGCTTTACTACCCTGACTCCACATGGGCAGGGCCTGGGAAACCCATCCACAGATACAAAGGGTCTGCTGCTGGCAAAATGGGGCTTATCAGTCTCAGTCCATTGGAGAGGTTAGCTTGGAATCCCATCTGGGCCGCCAAATTGTTGAAGGAAAAGTCTTCATCATGGTTCAGTCCAAGCCAGGAATAAACAACATGGCGACTGCTTTAGAAAGAAGGTTGCAGTTTATTGAAGAGGAGAGCCAGACAGAAAGATGGCTCTGGAAGAAAAGAGAGCAAGGACATGTAGGGAGTGGGTTTTTATACCCTCTGGAGTTGTTCTTCTGGCATGAATTTTGACCTGAGTCTGAGTGTGCCCTTTGGTATCTGTGGGTTAATCCTGTTATGTCCTGTCTTAGAGTTTGGGTGGGGTATGTAGATTTTAGGTGTCTTTGTCTTCCTAAGCTTCTAGCTGGTGGCCTCCCACCTTCCTGGATTGTTTACATCTGCATTTCTACAGAGCTGGTTTCTGCTTGGGGGAGGGAGACTTGGGACTATTAAGAAAACTGGGCATGCTTTTCTGCCTCTTTAAGATCCTTTAAGAAAATATATTTTTCTGCCCTTTTAATATTTCCTTCTCTGGGAGGCTGACTTCCCACAAAAGTTTGAACAAAAGGGCTATGTTTTGTAAAAAAAAAAAAAAAAAGTATAGTATCTGGAGCAAGAAATAAACTTTTGTGAGTGAGAGCCCTTTGCTTTTTTATTGAAGGAAGTTGGTGAAAGAAAAATTATACTATATTATAGTTGGGAAAAGAAAAATAATATTCAGAGTTTATTGCTATGGGTTTTTTTATAAAACACATATATCATATGTGCAAGATCAGTTCTACGTAGAGTAGCTAATAAGTGTGTGTGTCTGCCAGAATAAAGTAGAAAACATTTCTTCTGAGGTTCAGGGATCTTTTTGCAATGATGTATTCCTAGTTTTCTGTTTTATCTCAAATCAAGGCTTCCACTGTGTTTAATCTCTAAACAAAAACAATAGATACATTTTCTAGTTGAAGTTTACTTAAAAATTGAAATTTTTCCTTTCAGCTCTATCTTGAAAGAATCTCTCACTAAAATCCTGTGTTCAGAGAATCTGAATGTTCTACATGCTCATTTTTTTAATTCATGATTTTCCTTCCCCTACTAAGTAACTTCCAAATATTTTTAAAGTATATAATTGGGGCGAGGGAACCTCCATCTCTCACAATTTTGAACTAGAATAGGATAGAGCTGGAAGGGACCTTGGAGGTCTTCTAGTCCAGCCCCCGGCTCAAGCAGGAGAACCTATACCATCTCAGACAAGTGACTGTCTAGCCTCTTCTTAAAAATCTCCATTGATGGAGCGCCCACAATTTCTGGAGGCAATTGTCCTCACTGTCAGGAAGTTTCTCCTTAATTCCAGGTTGCTTCTCTTTTTGATCAGTTTCCAACCATTGTTTCTTTTTTTATATTAAAAGTTTTACAAATTTAATACAATATAAACCTCTCCCACCCCATCCCCCTCTCCCCCACTTCCCAGAGCTGATTATAGGGTAACAAATAAACAAACATAATCTAATTAACATAAACCAACTATACTATCAATCAAAACCATAACACACTTTAACTCCTTTTCAAAAAAAGTATTAACAAATTAAAAACAAAAATAATATAATTAAAACTATTAATAATTATCTAAAATCTACTCATATGCAAGATAATACTTTTCAGTTTCATAGCCAAACCCAAGTCCTGCAGTTGTTCTTCATATGTTTTAATCTCCAGGCTTTTGATCATCTTAGTTGCTCTTCTCTGAATTTTTTTCAAACTCTCAACATCTTTTTTGTGATATGGTGACCAAAATTGGCTGCAGTATTCCAGGTGAGGTCTTACTAGGGTTTTATAAAGTGGTACTAATACTTTGTGTGATCTTGATTCTATGCCTCTGTTTATATAACTCAGGATTGTATCAGCTTTTTTGGCAGCTGCTGCACACTGCTGGCTCATAGTCAAGTGATCGTCCACTAGGACTCCAAGGTCCCTCTCAGAGTTACTGTTTTTAAGTCAGGTCTTGCCTAATCTGTACTTGTATCTTTGGTTTTTCCTGCCTAAATGTAAAACTTTGCTTTTCTCCACACTGAAACTCATTTTGTTGGATAGGGCCCATTGTTCAAGTTGGTCAAGATCTTTTTGGATCCTGAGTTTGTGTTCTGGGTCGTTGGATACTCCTGCCAGTTTAGTGTCATCTGAAAATTTGATGAGTTCCCCTTCAATTCCCTCATCTAAGTCATTGATGAAGATATTGAAGAGTACTGAACCTAAGATGGAACCTTGTTGTACCCCGCTGCTTACTTCTCTCCATTTGGATGTAGTGCCATTGAGGACTACTCATTGAGTGCGGTTTGCCAGCCAGATACAGATCCATCTGGTGGTGATGTTGTCTATTCCACCTTTTTCTAGTTTACCAAGGAGTAGGTTGTGGTCCACTTTATCAAATACCTTACTGAAATCTAAGTATACTATGTCCATAGCACTTCGCTGGTCAACTAGTCTAAACTAGACTAAAGTCTAAAGTGACTAATCAAGTGACTAATCACTTTATCAAAGATAATTTTCAAATTATCAGTTTTCATTTTAATACAAAACATCATTGTAATATTAGAAATGTATTCAATGAGTATTTGAGCATCCTCTCTTGAAGATTCTGCTCCAGATCTAAACTAGATCTGGATCTCTATGACCCCACATGGGTCCTGTTGAGAGCTTATCCCATACATTCTGGGTTTCCCTGCAGCATATTTAAAACTAATGTGAAATTAATTTTTCTTTGAAATATAGAGACTGCACATAGCTTATTATTATTATTGTTATTATTATTATTATTATTATTATTATTATTATTATTATTATTATTATCATTATTAGTAGTAGTATATAATAATACCATCAAACATCCACATCTGCCTATCCCAGGTCCTGGGTAAGGACTCGATAGGTAGACAAAATGCCAAATCCGGTCTGAACATCTGGCTGACTATGCAATGATCCGTAATAAGAAGAAGAATAAGAATAGGAAGAGGAAGAGGAAGAGGAAGAAGAGGAAGAAGAAGAAGAAGAAGAAGAAGAAGAAGAAGAAGAAGAAGAAGAAGAAGAAGAAGAAGAAGAAGAAGGAAGAAGAAGAAGAAGAAGAAGAAGGAAGAAGAAGAAGAAGAAGAAGAAGAAGAAGAAGAAGAAGAAGAAGAAGAAGAAGAAGAAGAAGAAGAAGAAGAAGAAGAAGAAGAAGAAGAAGAAGAAGAAGAAGAAGAAAGTCATAGAAAATGATAAAATTAAACTGCTCTGGGACTTCAGAAGTCAAACAGACAAGCACCTGCAACATAACACCCCAGACTTAACAATTGTCGATAAGAAAGACAAAAAAGTCTGGATAGTGGACGTGGCAGTGCCTGGAGACAGCCGAATAGACGAGAAAGAACTGGAGAAGATAACAAAATACAAAGACCTACAAATAGAAATAGAAAGATTGTGGCAAAAGCAAGCAAGGGTAGTACCAATAGTCATAGGTGGCTTGGGTGCAATTCCAAAACAACTGGAGCACCACTTGAACACCATTGGCATTGACAAATTCGCTATTAGTCAATTGCAAAAGGCGGCCTTACTAGAACTGCTTCCATTCTGCGAAGATATCTGTAATACCATTAAACATCCACATCTGCCTATCCCAGGTCCTGGGTAAGGACTCGATAGGTAGACAAAATGCCAAATCCAGTCTGAACATCTGGCTGACTGTGCGATGATCAATAATAATAATAATAATAAAGTTGGAAGGGACCTTGGAGGTCGTATAGTCCAACCCCCTGCTCAGGCAGGAAACCCGATACCATTTCAGACAAATGGCTGTCCAGTCTCTTCTTAAAAACTTCCAGTGTTGGAGCATTCACCACTTCTGGAGGCAGATTGTTCCACTGGTTAATTGTTCTAACTGTCAGGAAGTTTCTCCTTAGTTCTAGGTTGCTTCTCTCCTTGATTAGTTTCCACAATTCCTGCCTCCATCTCTTAGCTGCTGATTCTAACAGGTCTGTCAAGTGGAAAGGTTTTTCTGTTCCTGGTCTCCTAATACAACTGCAGAAGTGTATACAATACGAAGCACACAGAACAGGGGATTATAGGGGCCAGCAATTTATTTTATTTCTCTTTTGCATGGAGTGGAAAGATAGATAGAATTCTTAATATGTGGGGAATGAGCATATGTAAATTATACTCCTTTATATAAGGGATGCCTGTCCTCAGACTTTGGTCCTTCTTAGAATTTACCCAATTTCTCTGGAAACAAAAAGCTGGCATATAATTAAGTTACTTATATGCATACACATTTCAGTGTATGCAAACTGTGCCAAGAACCTATGAACTTACCTGGAGCTGACATAAAGGTGTCAACTGGCAGCCAACGTGACATGGAGATCTTCTAACTGCAAGTAGCTGTTTTGCACTTTCAAGAAAAGAAGCTCTGTTCTCGTTTAATCATTTGCCAGGGCTCTTGATAAGCAGAGAGCATCAGGAAGAACAGCCAGCCACAGCTCCCCTCAGGATAAGACTTGAAAATTCATGGCTCCTGGCCCAGATCTTCATGGAAACTATCAGAGTCCAAAGAAGGAAGTTCAATGCCACATCATGCTCTTTCCTCTCAGCTCCAAGAATTTCTGGATGGTGGTGCTCCTGAGTACAATCAGATGGACAATAGGAAGCATAAGCTGTCCCAAAGAATGTACATGCCAATACCTAACTGTCAGTTGCACGGGGAAACTGCTGGAAGAGTTCCCAACTATAATTCCACTGGATACCAGGCAGCTGGTTCTGGCTGAAAACAAACTCAGCTACTTGCCCTCACTTGAGTTGAATTTTCTCAGTGACCTGATCTACCTAGATTGCAGCAGCAACACTTTAGGCAAGGACCTGGATTTCACTTTTGTCAGCATGATCAAGCTTATCTACTTAGACCTCAGCTTTAACAATCTCACACAGGTAACTTTTGGCACCTTTTCACAGCTGAGCAGTCTGGTGGTGCTAAAACTCTCAGACAATCCCAGCCTGGTAGAGATTGAGAAGGACTCTTTTGCCAATAATACCTTGTTGAGGCATCTAGATGTGAGCCGCTGCAGCTTGATGTTTATTGATACAAGTACGGTCAGGGACCTGCCTAATCTGAAAAGACTGGACATAGGTGAGAATCCCTGGTTCTGCAATTGCTCCTTTATGGAACTATGTAGCTGGTTGAAGGAAACTGGCATAACTATTTCAGGTGAGTTTGAAAAAGATGTATTCTGTTCTAGATGACTATTGTGTAACCAGCAATTTTGCACTGAACTACTGCTGTTTCTCCTCAGCTCATAAAATAAGGAATGTAAACTGACACATTTTATGCCTGTGGAGTTGAATAAAGATCTCTTTAAAATGAAACTAAAAATTCTAGATTAAATAATAGACTAAACAGATAACAGAGTTGAAAGGGACCTTGGAATCTTCTAGTCCAACCATTCTTAAAAACCTCCAGTGATATGTATGATTCTTGCATTAAAAGCAAAGGGATATCTTTTATTTAGAATTTTGCTAAGTATTGTTGTTGTTGTTGTCTTCTTTGTAATTAAGATTGACAAAACATTATGTAACTCACAAAATATTTCAGCTCACACGTGCAGTTTTACACTATTTGGCTTCTTCCATCAGTATTGTTCAATAGTCAATTCCTATTCTTCATGCATCTCGGAAAGGCAAACAGAATAAAAAAACTAGATAACTAATGTATTGTCTAAGAGAGTTTCACTTCTCACTGATGTCATGCAATTCAACTATAGTATTGCTGTCCACTCTGTGTCAAAGAGCAACACTCTGTGTGTGAAATAAACACTTCATTTTACATTCCTCTGGTTGTGTGAGGGCAATGTTAAACTTTAATGCTCAGTGTAAATATATCCAACAGCAGGAGCTCCTCTTTCTTTCCCCTAGTTGAAATAAGATACATCTTATTCCATGGTAGCCAATTGCAAAAGATAACACTGATAATTTAGTAGCTTCAGTTGACTATCACCTATATGGTCTATTCATGCCATTCTCCAAAAGTAAGATAAGGGTGTATGATATTCTGTGACTTATTAATATATTTAAGGATGAATATATAAAGATCCTTGTAGTGATGTTGCAGACATATTGGTTAGGGTATGCTATATGTTATGTATACAGATGATTCTATATTGTTGGTTGAAAACCTGAATGATTTGCCATGTCTGGACCAAACAACAAATACATGGAAGCAAAGAGATGCAGAATGTTGTGTATTGACCCAATGTATAATGTCAGTTATAAAGTGTTAACTGAATATGTTTAAATCAGGTCTCTAACTGTTTGCCTGTTAGTTACAAGCCCGCACTTTGAGCTGCAAATATTGCTTTAAATTCATTGGCTGCCACCTAGTGGCAGTCCGGTATAAACAGAAGTCAAGTGGCTGTTAGAGTAGCTTCTGTTGCTTCTGTGTTCGTTCAATAAAGAGCTGTTGCTAATCTTTGGTCTGATCAATGCCTCACTGATCCCAGTATATAATAGTGGCGACAAGGATGGGATATGCTGCAAAGGAAAGAAAGAGCTGAAGCACTGAACCAGAGCCAGAAGTCACGAGGGTGTGAAGACTAGGCACAAGTGCCCTGGTAAGGACCACGTCCCCACCTTGCCTGCCAGTAAAGCCACACTGGAGAAACAATCATCCTGAGGGATCTGTCCCCAGATTCACACAGCAGCTCCTTAGCAATATAAGGCATTTGACAAGACCTCATGAGAGTCAACTATGGCCAAGGTGGGCAAGCTGAATGAATTTGACGTTTCTCACTCAGAGCAATGGAGCTCATACGTTTCCAGGGTGGAGAATTACCTGCAGGCCAACCAAATGAGAGAAGATGGGCTGAAGACTGCTACTCTGCTATGCGTGTGCGGACAGGTGACCTTCGACATCGCGGAGAACCTGATAGCCCCAGCCAGCTTAGAATCAGTCACCTGCGCTGATCTGAAGAGGAGACTAAAAGAACATTTTGAACCCCAGCTGGCCATCATTGCTTGGCGGCATGCATTCGAGCAAAGAGAACAACAGCCTGGGGAATCAGCTGCTGAATTCGTGACTGCCCTTAGACAGGCATCCAGACTCTGTGAATTTCCAGATTTAGAAGATTGGCTCAGGGACCGACTTGTATGTGGCCTCAGAAACAGAGACTTACAGCAGAGGCTGTTTGCAAAGGAAGACTTGACATTCCAGGATGCATTAAAAGAAGCTATGGCAGAAGAGGCCACCGGTGGAGTGAAGGCTTTACGATCCTCAAAGACTTCCCTCAGTCAGACAGCTGTTCACTACGAAGACACAGATAAAACAGACGACCCAGACAAGGATGTTGCGATCGACCAGGTGCAGAAGCTACCAAGAAGAAGGCAGCAGCCATTTGACAAGGCAGCTTTCTTCCCTAGCTGTGCCAGCTGCGGAGAATGGCACCAGCGATCAGAATGCAGGTTCTGCACGGCCATGTTTCGAGCTTGCGGCAAACAGGGGCACATTGCCATCATCTGTAATGGTTGCCAGAGGGAAGTTCAACCCAAAGACATTCCCAGGAGAGGTAAATGGGCCCCAAGGCAAAACACAGTCGGATACTGCTCCGGGAGGAGGAACATTTTTAGAACAGGAGCCCATCGCCCTCTCAAAGAAAAGCTAAGACTCAGGGTCAGGCTACAAGGAGTTCTGTGTTCAATGGAACTGGACACCCAGTCAGCCCTGTCCATAATCCATACAAAACTTTTAATTACATCTGCAGACATGGTGGGAAACGAGTCAGATTCAAGCCGTCAAATCTGGTGCTGACAGACTTTCAAAATTCCCACATAGTGGTTAAAGGAGAAGCTACAATGAAAGTCAGCTTCAAAGAGTTTGAGGGTCCCCTCAACATCGTGGTAGTCGAAGGCCAGCGCACCAGTTTGGACTGGTTTGATGCCCTGGGCATCCATGTGACTGGCATCAACAGGACTCCAACAGCTGATTTGACAGCTGTGTACCAGGAATTTGCTGATGTATTCAGCATCAGCTTAGGTAAATACAAAGGAGCACCAATCGCCCTCCACCTTGATCCAGCAATAACCCCAATCAGGATCAAGCCTCGCAGAGTGCCTTTTGCCTTAAAACCAAAAATAGATGCAGAGTTAGATTAACTTATGCAGCAGGGAGTATTGCAACCTGTAGATAGCAGTGTGTGGGAAATCCCCATAGTCACACCAGTTAAACCTAATGGAGATGTGTGCATGTGTGCTGATTAAAAGTGCACCACTAATAAGGCACTTCAGCAGCAAGCGTACCCAGTCCTGGTAGTTAGCCACATCCTGGCACCACTACAGAGAGGTTGCTTATTCGCTAAGCTAGACCTTGCACAGGCATATCAGCAACTGCCTGTGGATGATGCCACTGCAGAGGCACAAACTATAGTTACACAGAGGTGCACTCAGGGGTCACTGCTTGCAGTTTGGGGTAAGTGTCGCCACAGGACTGTTTCAGAGTGTAATGGAATGTACACTCAAGAATATTCCAGATGTGTGCCCTTACTTTGATGGTGTTCTAATTGCTGGAGAGTCAGCTGAAATGTTAGCAGAATGTTTCAGAGCAGTTCTTCAATGCTTCTGCGAAGCGGGGTTGAAGCTTAAAAGAGATAAATGCCAGATAGGTGTGAACTCTACTGAGTTCCTGGGATTTCGGATAGATGCTGCTGGACTCCACCCTGCTGACTCAAAGCTTAAGGCGATACAGCAGGCTCCCAGACCTAAGACAAAGGGGGAGCTGCAGGCATTTTTATGGTTACTTAACTTCTACCGTGCATTCCTTCCTCATAAGGCAGGCTTGGCATAGGCTTTTGATAAAAGGGCACCATGGCTGTGGACTAGCATTCACGAAAAAAGTTTCAAAGCAGTCAAATCACTGCTATCATCAGACTCAGTGTTAATTCACTTCAATGAAAAACTGCCTATCAGTATTGCATGTGACACTTCATCGTATTGTATAGGAGCAGTTTTGAGTCATTTAATGGCTGATAGGCGGCAAGCACCCATAGTGTATTATTCAAGGACACTTTCCCCTGCAGAAAGAAATTACGCATCAGGCTTCCGGTTTGGCAGGGAGACATGGGAGGCTGGACCTCCAGCCTTTCAGTCCGGTTTTGCTTTGCCTAGCGTCTCTTAAAGGGATGGAAAGTTGCCCTGGAGGGGCAACGAAGAAAGAGGGATATTTCAGGAGGTTGGATCTGGTGGCAACCAATCTGGGCATACTGAAGCCCCCTCTAAAGGGGCAGAAGAAAGGCTGCCAGGAGCCGAGGCATCCCAAGTTGTCTGCAGCTGGAAGGGAAGCTATGAAAAACAGCTGATTTCCAACAACATGCTATGTCTGGGTGAGCTGAAGTCTTTTCCTTCTTCTTGTGTTTGAAAATGTTGAGACCCTGAAAGGGAGAACTTGAAAGAGTAAAGACCTCCAGAGAGACTTTTGGAGCAGCAATTTAACATTAAGGGAAAATGTTAATAAATATCAAACTATGGGAGTACTGGAGTGTGGAGACTGATAAATAAGCCAATAAATAAGCCAAGGAGGACACCTACTAGCGAAAAATAAGAATTAAAAAGAGAGTGACCTTGGGAAGCTTGAGAACAAAACAAAGCCTTGGTCTGAGATAACAAGTGAAGAGACAGTTTATAGCTATGCTTGTTGACATTGGCTAAAAACTAAATAGACATTATCTCGGGGGGGGGGGGAGAATATTTTAGATCCAAGAAGGGACTGGAGGAGGTAGGTTTGCCTCACAACAGCTGATTCCTGTTTACGCTTTGGATATAAGTTTAAGACTGTGAGCCACAAAATGAGTACATCTAATATTTCCAGACTTGAAAAGAAAACCTCTTCAGCGCCCTCTGTCGGACAAGCCAGTCCAACAACTCAGAGTTCTGTCGGTACATTGCTACAGCGTGACAAAGCAAGCACGGCTCAAGATGAAACACAGACCTCTTTAAAATTAATTCAAGAAATCTTGCAGAGGAACCATGAGGAAACACAAAGTAAACTGGAGAAAGTAAGCAAAGAAATTCTGGATATAAAGGCACAATTTGAAGCTCAAAATCAAAAGATCATTAAAAATGAACAGAAAATCCAGGAAGTGGAAA